AAGATCTTAGAGACATTGATCAAAGATAAGATGATGTGTCAGTTAACAGAGAATAACCTACTGAGCGCTGCACAGCATGGATTCATCAAAGCTAGGTCTACTGAAACCTGTCAGCTCTCTTTCTTTGATCATGTTCTTCAATCTAGGGACAATGGTTTTGTACTTTACACAGCCTATTTCGACTTCACTAACGCTTTTGATCGTGCTGATCACGTTCTTCTTCTCTCGAAACTGTCGTCTTTCAGAATAGGTGGCAAACTACCGAATTTTATACCCTCTTACTTAGGTGATCATACAGAACGGGTAAAGATTTCCAATGCTGTATCCAATCCGATATGTTTGAGAAGTGGATTCATTCAGGGTAATGTACTCGGCCCGCTGTTATTTTGTTTTTTTGTTAATTATGTACCATATTTATTTCAAAATGATAAGCCCCTCATTTATGCCGATGATCCGAAAGTTTCATATAGATACAAGCCGGCAGATCGCGACATCATGCTCGAGCTCCTAAAGCGCGATTTACAGGCCTTTACCCAGTGGTGCTGCAGATGGCGCCTTTCGCTTTCCTGGTATAAATGCTCAATCACGGTGGTCGGCGTCGACCACCAACCTCAAATAAGTATTGACGGCCACGACATAAAAGTGCCTGGAGTTCAGATAGGGATCTGGGTGTATCATGCTCCAAAAGTCTTAATCTTTTGGAGCGCTGGATCCTGATAGTCTCCAGAGCATGCAGAACGACCGGGTTTATCCTCCGAAACTTTAAAACTAGGGACATCAGAATGCGCCTTTACAACATGTACGTTAGACCTGGTCTGGAATACTGTTCGTTTTTATTTAACCTCATGCGTGCTGCTGAGCGGAAGAAAATAGAATCCGTTCAACACTTTTTTACCAAGAGAATTTTAACCCCGGAACACCGACATTTGTCGTACTAAGGACGTTGTCGGCTTACAGGCCTTGATCCTTTATGGTTCCGTAGATTAAAAAAGGGAATATTTTACTATTTTAGCTTTTATATAATCGCACCTTTAATCCGCTCACTACTTTAAGACATCTTGTTCACCCCCCGGCGTAACAGTCACCGTGAGGTCTTCTTATTTCTTTCTCTGGCACATACTGTTAAATATCGTCGGTTCTTTTCTGTGAACGCAATTGCTATTTGGAATAAATTACCCGGGAATGTCAAAAACTCTGCAAAATTATCCTTTGCTTAAGATAACTATCAGTCGTTTTTGCATTCGGAAAAACTCCCACAAATTTTGGGTGCTAAATCCACTGATCGAATATACCGTAGCGATGGAACTCGTGGTCTCTGACCACTATGGCCAGTCACACCAAGGATATTTTTCAGCGCACAACGACAGCTGCTCATCAGTACTTTTGTTTGGTCCAGTCCCACTTTCATGAGGAGAAATGGCGACTGATAATATCCGATGCAGTGCTACCTCTCCATTTCTTGACTGTCGTCATTTCATCGGCAGCAGTATTTTTTTCTCCGGAACTCTCCGAATCATACAAATCTGCCATTTTCTTTATTTTTGCTACCAAAAGTTTTTCTCACTGCTGGCCGATTTTTTTAACCTTTCCCTGACAGTGCCTGTAAACGGGCATTAAATACAACCATTATCCTTATTATTGTTAGCATTATTATTATTATCCTAACTTACTTTCAGCTTTCCTCATTGGCCACCATAACCGCGTCTTACCCACCGACGTCGCCCTCCGAGGATAAGGTAATTACACCTTTTTTAATTTTGACCTATCTTTATTTTCGCACTGCTCTGCTCAATATTACAGTACATATCAAAATATATTACTTCTGCTGTGTACTCAAGTTGTATCAATTTTTAAATTTATTATCATAGATTTTCTTTGCGTATATTCGTATGTGTTTAAATCCGACTGATCAACAGACACTTTTCACTCATCATTGCATCAAAGTATTGAAGTAGCACTGTGCACCACTAACTGATGGTTTTCTTTTCCCACAGAAACCAGCTACGGATAACGGCTTTCATGCTTACGACGTACTTGGACAATGCATGACGGACAATATTTATGAATGCACAAATATTTCTTTTAACTTTTGCTTTAATAACATTTGCATAACCATTATTTTTTGCGCTTATTTTCTGTCGTTGATTTTGGTATTCAGTATGACTCCTACGTCGGGACTATAAGCCACCGATAAACATGTCCATCGACATCGTGAAGCATGCCTTTGGTTACAATTGTATTCATCAACATAGAATAGAAACCGTCATTTTGCAGAATAATGCTCCTGTTCACCGCTCAAAGAAGGCATGATTCCAATTCACCTTACGGCTATAATCTGGTATTAAAGCCCACAGCCAGCTTCTCCGCCTGCGGTCTTTGAAGCATGTTTATTCCCGCCAGTATTACGGGCGTGAATCTGACCGAAAATCTTTTCGCATTAATCGAAAGGACCTGTAACAAAGCAAAAAAAACACCTTGCAATGCAGCAGCAGTTGGATTTTGCGCCCATTATTTGTGTAAATCAAACCACCGTAGACACCCTAGTAGTCCTTTTTCTCTTCCGACTCATAACAACTTTAGAGCCAAAAAACTATCGACAAAGTACTGGTGTGTTATCTTTGATGTTTCTTGGTTATTTTACGATTATACGACATCTTTCTTCCCTTCTGACAATTACATTTATCCTTGAATAGCTGACCTGTCTTAAGGCCGTTTTTATTTGAGGGGTTTTGGGAAAACAAATTATTTCTTAGTAGGTAAAAAAATACATTACAAACCAAACTGCGTCTTTTTTGAAGCTCAGTAATTCCTTTGAAGCAGTACAACTCTCGTGGGTGCAGGGTGTTTCGAATCAATAGGGTTTAATACGGGGCATGTTGGACGCAAATATTTATTCCCGTATCTAAAAGTGCTCGTGCAATATCTCGTGACATTTCTGTATCGTTTCACGCCTACATATGTTATATATTGCTTTATATCGATATACTTACATGGTCGCATAGAACTCTCAAAAGCGAGATACACGGATAATATAGGGAGCCTTCTGTAAAATAGTAAACTACGCGTATTTAAATTTCTCGAAGCTGTTGATTTTACCTAAGTTAGATTTGGAAGGCAGCCTTCAAAATAAAAATTCGTCTGAGTGCTTTCGTAAAGCCCCGCAAATCGTTCTGGAATATGCCCTTTTTAAGATGTCTCCTGGAAATCGAACAAGAGTCAGTAAAAGAAAATATTAGGTACGCGGTATCCGTATCTACGCGTAATCATAAGTCTAAATCCAAATAATTCATAAAAATGTATTACCGCTGTGTCTTTGGCTCGGGTCTCATTAGCGACAAATACACGCGAAAGGATCCTGTATTGCTAAATCAAAGAGTAACAGTGCTCACGCTAGTAATTTGAGGTAAACTGGAAAATATGCAAACCGTTATAAGTTACTCAGTTAAAGTCTCAAAAATACACCGCTCCGGCATAAACCTCCCCATGCCTGCAGTATGGAGAACCAGATTTGAAGACGTAGTGTCCGACGCATGTGAGTGATGCAAGCTTTATAACGTAAACCACAGATTCTAACTTACGCAATTTCCAAGCCTCCAATTATCACGGTTTTCCTTTTAAAATTGTCCTGAGGGTTTTATCGTTATCTGTAGAGACATTTGTTAGCAATAAACTTTTTGGTAAGACAGTACATCTAAGCGAGCAGTGATTGGATTGAGAGCTTAGTTTGGAAAATCTGATCTTATCTGCCGCTTTAATCAAACAATATATGAGATTAAAAGGATGGTCTTTAGATCCCTGTCCCAATGAAACTGTTATAAACAGTAAACAGACCTTGTTAAGTCTGGGTAAAGAAGGCCACGTTGAATTATCACTTAGGGCACTTTAGTGTTTCATCGTTAACGAGCATTTGCTTAACTAATTAGGTGGTCGTGATTGGCTCTAATAGATTTAAACTTGACGGAGGGTCTGCGGGCATAAATCTACACTTCGACGCCATAAAGCTATGCTGTCGACTTCTTCAGGGATCCTCTTCAGTCCCTGCTCTTTATGGAGGGGGGCAAAACTCGGAGTCTAGTTTAGTTTGGTTCATTTGGAGGACATTTATATGTGCTCTTTTTAGCTTTCTGCTCGCTACAATCGACAGAGGTATCTCAATGAATTCAAGGAAAGGAACATTAAACACACACGAAAAAATTCGCAAGAACTTACAGAAACATAACTAAGTGCGGGTGTTGGCAGCATCAGTTGATGTATGTACGTTAGTTAGCGCATAGTAAAATTGTCACTTCAAAAGCAAGCACATCACTTAGAAAACTGTACGATGGCCGTTATTGGCGAGCGGCAATTTAACTATCAGGGAGAGTGCGACATGTGTCAGAGGAAGTAGGCTAATAAGCCTTAAGTTCTGGGGGTTTAAAATGTTTGCTTATGAGTGTCTCCCTGTCACAAAGTCTGAAAAGTGTATCATACTACTTCTGCTCCTCAGCAATCGAAGTCGATGAGGTGCTACTACTGATTCTAAGACGAACATGCATCATCTCTGATACTCGGTTTTTTATCTTTATGTTAAGCAATAATTCTTTATTTTAGATTCGGCAGCTCAACTGACTACTGTAGAATCTTTTCGAACTATTAACGAGTTACTATGCCCGAACCCGGAATTCCTAAGTACGCATTAGCCCTTCAAGGGATTTTTTAAAGTCTTTAAGATACGATAAACCAACTTTTCGAAAATTTCGGGGACTGCCGGGTAACATTTTTTGCACGGAATATTAATAAAACTAAAGATCACAAGAAGTTTGTTTTAGTTAATTAAGTGAATGTTCTATCACGGACATAACCCCGGCAACTCTTTCAAATAGGCGTGATTCTCTCGTCTTGTTGGTCGGTTGGTTAGGTGTCAAGGGGTTAAAAAAGTAGTGCGTTTTCGGGTTGTCGTTTATCTTTCTTGTCATTGAAATTTTGAAATGCAAGAAGTCTCGCCATCTTTTCAAGCAAACATGCAGATGAATACCCGTTCAGGTACACCCAATTTTTTCAACTTATTTTGCCGTCTCAAGTGCTAAGACCCGAGTATCTCAATTACACCACTGGCGATTACGCGCCGTTTGGCTCTTTTTACTCCGATAAATTCTCTGAGAGACGCGTCAACACGAACACGGCGCCTGTCTATTCAAATAATAACCCCGGCCCCCCTCGGCGGAAAATAACTCAGAGGAGGATGTCAAGTATGTTCATCGTGTTCTATCTTATCCTTCAGGTCACCCCTATTATTGTCCTGTACGAAATCAACAAAATCCTCAAGAGACGTCCTATATGGATTCTATGGAGTATCCGTCTAGTGCCGAACATCCTGCTTTCCATACTGGGGCCTCTACTGTACCTGTTCAAGTAGACATGTCTTTCCCCACACTCCGGTGGGACCAGGACAGTCTCTGCAGAAACAAAGCTCAAGCCCGTTCTCCTGGGCGATTCCAGCCGCCATCGTCCGCAATCCATCAGCGGTCTTCTGGCGCAAGCTCCGCCGGTTCCTCGCCCACAGCGCCCAGCAACGCATCAGCTTCTCACCCGAGGTCTTACAGTCACGGTCAAGCAGAACAACTCAGGCGGTCTAGAGAGTCGACAACTTTTGCGCTCATTGACAATCAGCTCTCGAAGCCCCCGCTTAACCAAGTGCGCGACATGTACCTACAGAACCGCGGTGGTTCCAGTTCATCTAGCTCTACGCCGACTAGGACAACAAAGAAAGCAAATCTGTCGGCGGTCCACACCGTTGTGCGTTTTAGGATCCGGGAATACCTGCTACCCATGATTGGCCATATGCGAAAGATGTTGGATATCCTCTTTTCGTCGCAGTATCCGGATTACAATTCCAGTGTGCGCGACGTCCTCGCATCCCAACTCTTTGGTCAGACGCAATTGCCCTGTTCTCTTTCTTGCGAGTTCTGTGAACGCTTCCGATATCAGTTGGACAGACAGACACCTAGCAGAAAGCTCGTTTTCAGCAAAACACTGATGCCGACAAAATCTACTCCGGCCCCGGAAAAACATTCTGCTACCAGCGCGTCGGCTCCTGACTCCGGTGCCAGTCGTGCCCCCAGTCCCGATCGAAACTATTCAAATCATGGACTATCAACTGTGCAAGTAAAACCAGAGGCCTCATCGGCAACCACTCCCTTGTCATCACCGTCTTCGCCGTTGCTAAATTTTGATATCCTTGAGCCGGCTTCGGAAGCCGATCTCTTGGAAGAGCTTCTGGACGTTGTGGACGAGGTTCATCCTCTGCCCACTCCTCAGCACCCCTTGGACGAAGTCCATCTTTCAGACATCAAACGTTCTCCCTCACGCATTCGTCTAGACAGCGTCTCGGCTCAACTTCAGGAAGGCTTTGATCTTGAGTCGATGTACTGGCCGTCAGGCAATCTGGACTTCGACGTCTGTCCGGAGGAGTCGGTTGAGTTGCAAAACCTGATTTTGGGCTCCAGTGCCGACACTAAGTTTGAGCCCCTTGCTGACGATGTATCCACGTTACCTGCTCTCGATGACCTCGACTCTCTGTCCAAGACCCCGTTTTCGGATTATGCTTCCTTTGATTTGAATGTGAGCGTTAAGAAAGAACCGTTTTCTTTGCAGTTTCCCCCACCAAGATCATGCGACTCGAGCAGTAGCAGTTGCGAGAGTCAACAACAATATTAAGCGCTTTTCATTGCCACCAATAACGTTGTACAAAAGACTTCTAGGCCATGCCGTATGTACATATTTTCCTTACGTATCTAGTGCTAACCAATCAGCCACTGTTCATATTTTGTTATCAGATTTTCTGTAGTCATTTCACAGCACCCATCTTATGTTTTACTACCCGGTCGGAGCACTTTTGTCCAGTTCCGACTTCCCCCCTTGGATAAAAAGAAACTTATTATTATCAGCACATGAGATACTCGGCCCCTGGAAGCCGCATCAGCCTGGCGGGTTTGACATCATGCCTGCCTCCTTTATCATTTGTATTCTTATGTCTAAAGAATATTGCAGTACCTTAACCATTCTTGATTTCCTGATAAGGTGTTAGAGGCTATTTCGATGCTCTCGTCGGTCCGTACTATATACTTTCGTTTTTTCTGTCGCTATGCCAATTGGGGACTTGCCGCTCCAGTCCCGACTTGCTATTATTGCCCGTCAGTTGATACGTAATCTGCCTTGAGCCTTTCCTGTGTCCGCATTGTACTGTCTTCAGACTTGGCATATATTGGTTTTATAAGACCACTTGGCCCGTAAGCGCGCGTATTTGTATAACATCTCTGTCCGCAAAAATTCAATTGTTTTCGCTCTCACTGACATCAGTGTCTATTAGCATTGGAGTGAGACAGGGAGCTAGCATTGAGTCGGTCTTCTGATATGAGCAGTCCAGAAAACTCCCGGGCTGAACGGTCGGACTCCGGCTGGCAGGTTCCCTCACTTAACTTAATTAACTTGGTCAGTCTTCAATGGCTGTTATAAAGTTTGTATTCAGGTCGGCAAACTAGAGAGATTCGGGTTGATAATTTTACAAATACGAAAAGCCCACTGGACTAGGTTTACATTGTTCACCATTGTCTAGGAGCGTTACTGGGACGGCCTCGCCTGACCTTATAGCTGGCATCGGTCATTAGTACCCAAGGCTCACCCCTGACATTTGAACCTGCCTCTAGCAGCCCATTCAGCGTCTAGACCCAACCCACTCGAACAATCGGCTTGTCTCCCGTCAACGAAGATCTGGAGTATGTGATGTCACATGCGAGTGATCTTCGCCGATCCACCAAGACTGGACGCAGGTCGTATTTCCATTTTTGTCTGAAGTTCTAGATCTAGAGCCTGTCCAGACTGTCGCGTAACGCCAAATAGTCATTTGGGACTGTCTCCTCCTGGAAAGACTAGGTTTGCATGACGCCTGCTCTGTCAGGGCGGGATTTCGTCATCGTAGACATTATGAACAGAAACAGAGGTTCACCTTACTCCTGTCATTTAAGGTTTGCTTGCAAGGGCCGATTTTGTCCGGTTGATCGACGTCGCCTTTTCCAAACCGTGGAGGCGCAGCAAGCCTGGGTGTGGGAGGGGAGAAATGGGGGCGCTGTGTTCCACTTTGCATCGTTTGTCTGAACTTTTAACTTGTCAGTAAAGCAGATTCAGACCGTTCAGGCGTTTTAAACATGGAGATGTGGTCGGGGCGCTTGACGAAGTAACAGGTTTCTGATGCCCAAGCATGAATTCGATGTTCCATCCACTGAGCCTCTATCTTGAAAACCAACTTTCCAACTGGGATGCGACTTGTGCGATTCCTGAGGGTGGTGTCATTGCGAAAGTGTGCTTATGTCGCCATCGGTTCGCCGTGTCAACGCCGAATTCGCTACATGTCTGTGTCCCGGCTACCTGATTCGGTTCGACTCCGTCTGGTTGTCCAGTTGCTGTAGTTGCACCCCAACTTCCCTCTAATTCTTACTCTAAACGCAATTCGAATCTTGTCTCAATAGGCATACCGATTTTCAACCATTGAAACTCTCTTGTTACTGGCCTCATGGTTGGCCGCCTCAGGGGACATTTCTTTTCCGGAGTGCTGTGTCGGACTTCTAAATGTACCTCTCGTTCCTGTTAATCTTGGGTAGTCCCACTCCCTTTATCAGTAACGTGTGGATTCAAAGGCATTCCTACCAAGTAGGTGTTCTATTTTAATCTTGGATGGTTCATCCTCCACGGGGGAGGGGGGGGTGCGGCATTTATTACGCAAGGCATTCCCGGCATCATTTTTGACGCGGCAGCATCGCTCCTCGCGTGCATCCCATGTTTAAAACAATCGCCTGACGTCTCCACTGGAATTTTTCGTGCACGTCGAAAAGACGACACGGGACCACCACCATACCCCTGGGGTTCGCCAACTTTGGAGATGGGTGGTGGTTTGTCAGTCAAAAGAGCACTTTCGTTTTTGTGACGGCCCCGGTGAAAGGTCTCCACGCATTCACGAGTTGCTTGCTGCCGTTCCGATAACTGCGGTTGCCGAGCCTCTTTTCTAGGGCACCCGATGAGGCCTAAGCCTCTAACGGAGGTGGGAAAAGGTGCCGCTGTCCCAATGGACCCCTGTTGTTCACACCTCTCGACCGATACAGAGTTCAGGCTTTTGAGGTTAAGGCGACTTCGCGCTGTTAGACCGTAATCCTGTTGTCCTTTTGGCGATTTTTTTACAAAAGGTTGTAGATTGAGCCTTCCTCACCAAATGTCCCTTTTCAACGTTAATTTTCATCCATAATCGGCGAAGTTAGGGAATTCTGTGCCCCTATGGGTTCTGCTTTAGGTGAAGGAAGTCGGCGAACATCCAAAGCAGACTAGTGTTCAGTGGAAAAATCCGGTTCTCAGGGCTGTGAGTTTCTTCACTGCACTCATGCGCATTTATACGGCAACCGGCATAATACTCCTCGCTGCCGACCGGATCTCATCTAATCGCTTGCCTTGTCTGTGCAGGAATCTGATCGGGGCCCTTGTGGGTCAAAAAAATGTACTATATTCTCTCTCGTCAGTCCTCCATAGCACTTTAATCTGACAGTGCCTACCCAGAAAGATTTGAGATTGATCAGCTTGCCATCGCCGAGCTGTTACATATATCCATGTATGCCTACGCGAGCAATGGGGGGTTGGGAATTCATGAATTTTGCAATTTGATCTTCTCTTGTTAGTGGCGTGGATTTTTGCGAATGCCATTTTTTCCCAGTTTGAGAATTAGACAATTTGGCGTACGATTGGCTCGGACGCATATACGAGTTTATGAACAGTTAATTTATGTATCGGCGTGGGCATAGTAAGCTAAATTCCTATAGAGAAAGAAACTCTCCTCTCCTCGGAGAGGAGGGATAATAGAGTTACGCCAAGGCACCGGCGGACGGGAAGTCTAACTGCCTTCACTCCTTCTTAAGCTTACGGACACCGTGAATCTAGAGGTACCTGTCTACTGTCGGCACGCTGACTTTCACCGAGGTGAGTTTGCCGGACACGGAGAAATAGAAGGTACCCAGTTATGATTAGTTCGCGTCGTACTTTCTTGTCTGTGCGTAGGAAGGGTGCGCGGATGCGCAATGCACGCGCGTTTGAAC